CTTCTATGTCCTGACATGCCCTCAGGCTCCACGGTGCTCCCTTGAGACGCCCAAGTAGCCCCACCCTCTGAAGCCCCCACACACTGGGGGCACTGGAAGACTGATCTGCTTGGCCCTGTAAACACTGCTTCTCAAGCCGAGGTCCTGTTCACTGCCTGCCTTTACCTGAAGACCTCTCCTAAAAGAAGTCCGTTTCTGTAGCCTGTGCTCACTCCCATCTGGCCACTTCCAGCCCCTGTCCTCTTTCCCAGCCTTCCCTGGAGATGGCCCTTTGCCAGCCCACTGAGGTTTCCAGGCCTTGGTCTTCGTCTGCATCCTGCCCTTTCTCTTTGCTGCAGGAGCCACACCGTTGGTACTCCTGCTGAAGTTTCTTCTCCCTTGGCCCCTGACGAGACCCTAGGCAATGGGTTCTGCCCCATTTCCACCTGAGCTTCCGAGCAGTCTCTGTCCTGCCCTGCCTCCAGCGTGGCTGCCCTGTGGCTCTCAGCAGCCCTTCCTCTCCTGCCAGCTCGAAGCGTGAAGCTCTGGAGTCTGAGGAGCTGGGTGTGAGCCTTGGTCTTGCCACCCACCTGGTGGATGACATTTTACCTGTCACTTATCTGAATTTTGTTTTCCCATGTGTAAAGTGAAGATGATAAGAATGCCCAGCTGGTAGGGTTATGGGATAGGGAAGGGGGGCAGCAGGACAGTGCTTTCCAAAATGTAGCCATGTGCAAACCTGCTTTACAATTCCTGCTGTATCTCAGTACTACTGTACTACTGTTAACTTGAAATGGGTCTTTACATTGACTTTAAGTCAACTCACTGGAAAACCAATTTAGTCATGTCCTAAATAATAATATTCATCGAATTGTGTATATGAAATGCCAGTTCTATTTTCCAAGGACACATTAAACATCAGTGCATCACTATATAAAATAAAAACATTCCTCAGTTTACTGCTAATCATCCCCACCGCCACAGGGCTGCATGCACGTCAGGGCGAGGACTCCTGGGGTCTTCCGGTCAGCCGTGTGCCACAGTGTCCAGAGCGTGGACAGTGCGCAGCATGCGAGCCTTCCCTGCCACTCCTCCTCCGTGGCTCGCTCAGGCTCTGCATCTCCAGCCTTGGCTTTGCCCCCAGGCTCAGTTCTGTGCCTCCAGCTTCTGTAAAATATTTCTTCCCATCAGTTCAGTCTCACTGAAAGGTCAGCCTGTCCACATTTTCCCTCCATGGTCCTTCATTTCCTGGTGATCTTAGCTCCAGCCTTTGACATCATCTTCTACCTTCCAACACTCTCCCAGCTCAGCCCCCACGTTCTGAGGCTTCTTGCTTCCAGAATCAGGCACGTCTTTTCCTTCTCCTTCCCTCAACTGCCTCTGGAGTCCCAGCTTTCCAGCCCAGAGCCTGCCCAGAAAATATATGTCCCTAATGGTCATCCAGGCATCCAAAACCACCAGGGAATTTCAGTGTGTACTGGTGAAGTCCAAACTTGGAAGACTGCATTGGAAGTGCCCAGAAAGAAGAATGGGTTTGCCATGTGGGTCTGCCACCTCAATGGGGTGACACTGGGCACGCTACTCAGGGTCTCTGAAGGGAAGTAATAGGGGTCCTGTTGTTAGGATTTGAAAATATACTTTATGTAAAGCACTTACTGTGGTGCCTGGTAGATAGTGACTGCTCCATAAGTGATAGTTGTAATTGTTCTGTGATTACTTGTCTGTGTATCAGGTCATTTGTGATCTATTTCCCTGCTTTTCTTTCCAGCTAAACCCTTGACTTGTCAGAATCCTGTTTCCACAGGCTGCTTGTCTCTGTCCCCACACCTCTGTGCAGAGTCTTGTTCGGCCTTTCTGACCTTTCTGTTTCTCTAAATGTGTAAGTCTTGCATCCTTCTGATGCCACCACAGCTTTGTTTTCTCCAGGAAGCAAGACGTCTTCCTTGACCATATTCATCGTGCCTTTCCTTCCTCTGGAATCTGGTTGCTCTTTTTCTTTATACCATTTATTTGGCACTTAACATAAACTTCCTAAGCTTTTGTTTTTTCTTGGTTTTCTGTTTAACTTTTATGTATCTATGTCTTGTTTCCCTGAGTAGATGATGAGTTTCTTGACGTGAAGGCCTATTTTGAGGCCTGCTGTAAAGCAATGATTAAGAACACCAGCTGTGGGCAGGACCTCCTGAGTTCACACCGTGACACCACCACTTACTAATTGGGTGACCTTGACCTTGGGTACTACTTAATCTTGATGCACCTCAGTCTCTTCACTTATCAAAAGATGATGATAGTGCCTTCTTTTTTGTGAGTTTAAAAGAGAAAATACTTAGTGCAGCCACTTACTGATTTAATACATACAGAGTTCTTGGAATAGTGCCTGGCATATAGTGCTCAATAAGTGTGTTGTTGTTGTTAACATAACCTCAGTCCTAATGCTTCCTCTTACAATACTAGTCACGCATAACAGATGCTTAATAAATATTGCTGAATATTTCCCCTGCACTACTCCTTTATAATTTTCTCATTCTGATTTTGTCACATGCGTATAGCAGAAAAATTGAAAGTCTCTTTTCATTTACTTCTAAACCAAAAAAGAAATCCCATGGGTTTAAATAGCTTTACTCTCTGGTATAAAGAAACAAACAAACTCACTTGAGAGAAACAATTCTTTTCTTGGAACTAAATTTGAAAAGGAATTTATTTTAAGATTGTGGGGCAGGATGCTGGTAGAGGTGGAGAGCTCATTCTTCTAAAACTTACTTAACATGATTAGGGAAAAAAATCCATTAAACACAGGAACTGTTATCAAGTAACTTGAGAAGCCCAGGGGGACTCGGTCAGCCGTGGGGTGAATTACACAGAGAGAGCTTTGTCCCTGTCCCTGTCTCTGGACGTAGGATCCCTGGATGCTTCCTCCTACAATACTAGTCACATATAATATATGCTTAATGTTGAATGGGTGAATATTTCCCCTCCAGTACTCCTTCATAATTTTCTCTCAGTCTGATTTCCTTACATGCATATAGCAGGAAAATTGAAAGTCTATTTTCATTTAATTCTAAACCAGAAAAGAAATCCCATGGGTTTAATCTTACCGAAGAGTAAGATTAGTGGTATGTGCAAGAAGGCAAGTGCAACCCAGAAACTGTAATCTGAAATTACCTCTTGCATCATAAGTGTATTTTTGTCTTTAGGGAGTAGTGTTGTCAGTAACTTACTATAATTGCAATAACCAGATCATTAAACTGTGTCTGCAGAGAGCATGGAAAATACATCTGCCCTTTACATGATAGTGTATCAGAGAATATATTAGACTTTTAAGATCAAATGCTATTTTTAATAGTTTCCTATGTATGAGTTAGGCATTTCAGTTACACACACACTTTGACATTTCCTTTAGAAAGTGAGAGCCTACCAAGAAATAGATGTTGTTTTGTAGAATTAATAAACCTAATGATAAGAAGGAGCTGTTATACTGATTTTAGTTAGATATTCAGATGATTATTTAACAAATGATATTAAAATATCTGTCATTTTAGGATTAGAAGAAAGTTTTGTGGTGGGTTAAAAAATGGCTTTAAGACAGGAAGTAGGAATTATAATGGGCATTTCTCTCAGTGGAGGTCAGTTAGCAGAGTATTAAAAGGCCCTGGGATTTAATATATTTTATAAGTGATATGGTTATGTGACACCTTATAAAGTAATGTTCTATTTTTTGAATGACTCATTTTGGAAAACAAAATCAATGGAAATAAATTACAGGAAGACAAGAAATATTTCATGAACATACAGAAGAATTGTAAGTAATAATACAAAGGAGTCAGTAAAAACAAGAAAAACCTGAATCATATTGTTTATAAGATGGCTGCTATGATTTAGGCAAAAGCTGGGAGTCCCTATAGCTTATTCTTAGTGAGAGACTTTAACCTATGAAATTCTTGATACATCAGTAAACACTTATCCAGGAGGTAGTCTATATAGAAAAATGATTAAGCAAAGTAAAGAAATTTGGAAATGATAAATCTACGGAGTTATACACTTTAGGAGAAACTGTTTAAACTTCTCTCTTTTGCTCCTTTCCCCTCCTCATTCAAGAGTCTCTCTCCTCTGTGCATGTCCCAGGCCTGCCAGCTCTCCCTGGAGCCACTGGGCACCGTTTCCCCTGGGTGGCCTCTTGGCTGAAGACAAACCAGCAGGCTGCCTATGGCCTGTCACAGGGTCACCGATGAGAAGACTCACTCTAGACGTCCCCTAGAGGGGATAAAGGAGATAATAGGTCCTCACGTGTATATATCATCCTTGTCTGTACATACCACATATCTAAACCGACCTAGAAATCAATTGTTAATCATGGAAAATATATGGGGAGGTTAAGTTCAAACAACTGTTGGTCAAATTTGACTTTTATCTTGGCCTGGTAAGTATCTAATAACTGACAGAAAACTACACATTTTCCCCCATTTGATTTAAGTGCTCTGATTAGAATTCATTGTTTTTCATAATCTCAAATTGTTTAAACATTCATTCAGAATGTGTTCATAGCAAGACAGCCAATGTTGGTATCTGATGATCTGAATTCGGCTCTGGTTTTTATGGGCCTGTTGAGATGTCCTTTCTGCGTGTTTTCATTTTTGAAGTTAATTTGAATCTCATAGAAAAGATTTCAAAGAAGAGTTATGAGATTCATAAATCCACAGCAGATTAAAAATGGATGTCAGGATGGTGTTTCTGTGTGTGCATGTGCATGTGTGCATGTGTGTGTGTGAGGTGGGGAAGTGCCACAGAACAGGGGTGGACTCTACATGGGGTAAAATAGAAACAGCTCATTGAAAGACCTTGTCAAGTACCAGGGCTGTGGGATGTAGAATGAAGTGTGTGTGCAGCAGAGAGCCAAGCCCTCCCGAGGCCAGGAGCTGGAGGTGTTAGTGGATTAGGGGCTTCTGTGGTGCTGGCAGAACGATCCCAGTGCTGCTCCCCACTGTGAACAGGGCGGCATCTCAGCACGTGCTCTCTTCTTTCAGATTGATGACCCCAATAGCCACCTTGAGGAGGTGACTGAGGAGGCTGATGCCATCGCCTCTGTGAACAATCTGGGAAGCAAGCAAGCCTTGAATACAGATTACCTGGATTCTGGCTACCAAAGAGGACAGCTATACCCATTCTCCCTTAGCAGTGATCTCCAAATGGCCACATTCACTCTCACAAATGCAGCTCCCATGACCCCGACCTTCCGAGAACGGTGGTACATGAATCTCAACAGCCTGATGGAGCGGGCCCTGAGCCCGCAGTGTGGCAGCGGGGAAGACCTATATATCATCACAGGCGCTGTGCCCTCAGACCGCAAAGTTAAAGACAAAGTGGCCATCCCTGAGTTTGTCTGGCTGGCAGCCTGCTGTGCTGTCCCTGGAGGAGGCTGGGCCATGGGTTTTGTGAAGCATACCCAGGATGGTGACATCATAGAAGATGTGATGGTGAAAGAACTTGAGAAACTGCTTCCATTCAACCCTCAGCTGTTCCTGAACAACTGTGGTGAAACTGAGCAAGACACAGAGAAAATGAAAAAAATCTTGGAAATGGTGAACCAAGTCCAGGATGAAGAGCGAATGGTGCAGTCTGTGGAGGGCTCCAGCCCCCTCTCCAGCACGAGGAGCGAGGGACTGGCTCTGCCGCCCGCAGAGGCACCTGCGGATGGAAGCAGCTTTTGGGGGAAGCTCATGGGCTTCATTGCCACCCCATTCATCAAGCTTTTCCAGCTCGTTTATTACCTTGCAGTAGGAATCCTGAAGAACGCTGTGTGTTTCCTGTGGTATATCACCAAACAGGTGATCAAAGGCATAAAAAGTTGCCTTTATCACCTCGGTTCAGCCACCATCTCATACTTCATGGCCATCGGGGAAGAGCTGGTGAGCATTCCCTGGAAGGTGCTCAGAGTCACGGCCAAAGTCATAAGGGCCATTCTCCGGATCCTTTGCTGTCTGATGAAGGCCATTTGCCGCATTCTGGGTGTCCCGGTCCGAGTCCTTGTGGATGTGGCCGCTTTTCCCATGTATACAGTGGGCGCAATTCCGACTGTGTGCAAGGACATCGCCGTGGGTCTCGGTGGCACCCTCTGTCTGCTCTTTGACACAGCTTTTGGCACCATGGGTGGCCTACTTCAGGTGGTTTTTAGCATCTGCAAGAGTATTGGATACAAGGTCACTTTTGACAATTCTGGAGAGTTATAAAACTCAAAAGACTAATAGTACCCAGTTGCAGTGAATATGATTTTTTTTTTAAATAGAGGAAGCTGGAATATTTTGTCTTTACAGTGGGTTTTTGTTCCCTGTCAATTATCATCACATTTTGGCCTTGGTTAGGGGGTGTCTGCATGTTTATGCCTAAGAAGATGGTACAATTTAGACGTGACCCAAGTGAAGTGTTCCTGGTGGGATTCTGTGTAGGTCATCTGCTAAAATATGAGCAAACTTCCAAGCTATTAGAATCTTTAGTTATTCACTCTGTTACAGATTAATTTGTGGTAATTAAAAATTACAGAGGAAAGAAGAATTAGAATGAGGTCAACTTTAAGCAAAATGTTTCTGGGAAAAGGAGAAAAGAATCTTGTTTCTCCTATTACTCTACAGACTTAGGGCAAAACTGATATAAATATTCTTAGCCCATTGGTTATCATTTGTTTTCTTTCTCTCCAACTCATCTGGCCTTTGTGAAGTGGTGACATGCTTCCCTGTTGAAATAACTTAGAGATGTAGAATCTGTTATACCCCTTAGCTTTCCACAGCTCCCAAGGACCTGTCTTGGGTTAATATTTTCCTCCAAAGTTGAATTTTGCTGCATTTGTCTTTTAGGTAATGATAAGCATTTTACATCAAATGTGGCATAACCTAGTTTGAATGCAAGGACAAAAACTCTTTATCCCTTGAACAATGTAGTATAGTCTTCTCTGGTATAATGAAGAGAGTACAGGGTTTACAGCCCTGCTGTGAGTAGGTGCTATAGGTCTGAGGACATCCTTAGCAAGCTTGGATTAACTCGATGTACATCAAATCTCTGGCTGACAAGATTGAGCTCAGAGACCTACATTTTAGGCTAATATGAAAATTGATATTCTGCAATATATTTGGTGTTTCCTATGCATCCAGTAAATACCTAATACAGTAAGACACTCTGACTTCTGTCCTTAATGATTGTTTTTGTATAATAGATTTTTTGGGATTGTTGAGTATAAATGTATAGAAAACTAAAGAAAAACTAAGCATCTCAGAAAAAAATATATCCATGTCCACTTATATCCCAGTTTATGTGAGTATAAACTTGGTAAGAATCATTCTTTCCTAGGAAATTATTTTTAGTGTGTTTGAGTCTAGAAAACATAACCCTCCCATTAATGCAAGCTTGATTTGAAAGCTAGTCCCCAATTTTTAGATCAAGCATTTGTCATTTTAAATCTAGAATACATAACCCTCCCATTAATGCAAGCTTGATTTGAGAGCTAATCCCTAATTTTTTGATCAAGCATTTGTCATTTTAAATCTTGTGCTGAGAAAGAAAACAGAATCTCCCAAACTTTGCTCTGCCATTCACAGGCTAGATGGAATCACCTTGGCTTTTCAGAGGGTTCCAAAGAATTGCTGTGAGGCAGAAAGGGGCCAAGTGTGAAATACTGATCTGGGGGTTGCAGGCCACCAATTTTATCTGACTGTTAGATGCAAAAACTTGGGATCCAGAAAGGCAGTAAGGAGAAAGTGATGGGTCACTATTTGCATCAGGTTGGTTTAAATCAAGAAATGTAAGTGTAGCAAGAGATACATTTTGCAGAAAAATAATTGAATTGCACCAGAGTAGAAGAGTAGCCACGCTGATCAATTGGTGGTGCAGTGTTGGGGTCTGTGAATACTGGACTGGCACATGATAGAGAGATATGCACTAGACTTATCTAAGAATCTTAAGCAGTGTTTTACCAACACTTCTGTTTGTGAGCATATAAATCTGTAGCTGGGCTTCCCTTCATTGTAGCAGCAGGAACGCACGTGGAAGGGTGAGTTTGCCTTAGTGCTGATGGGTCAAGAATCCTGCTGGACGAAAAAGACATCTTAGATGTGACCAGGGAGGTGTTCTGTCCAAAGCCCCACGTGATGGGGGACCTGAGGCACAGGGAGGTGGCAGGCTTGCCTTCAGTCTCCTTGCTAGCTGATGGGAGATTTGCATGTGTCCTGTTATACCTGGGATGCCAGAGACGTGGTGTGTGTCACTGTTCACCTGCTCCCGTAGCAGGGTCTTCTCCTTCACCCGTCAGACAGACTCTAGTCCCTGACTCGCCAACTGGATTCGTCCCATGTGATGAAACAATTAGCCCTCCATGCACTGCGCCATGCTTACTGCCTCCCCTGGAATCTGTGTTCCCTCATTATAATGGATGTGGATACTGAAAGGCCCAAAGAGGTGGTGGCTGGAGCCCGTTGGCAACATGCAAGGAGCAGGGCATCCAAACTGCTTCTTGAGAGCCATTTGGAAATGTCTTCTTTTTTTTTACTCTTAGTTATTTAGTGTCTTATTTATTCTTATGTGCTCTTTTTTGAAATTGGGGAAGGGATTTAAAGCACAAGTATCCTTCAGGTGAGGTGGCTGAGACCCTCCGCTCTGGACCACTGGGGTTGGCTGTGCCTCCAGTTCACCGGCGCCAGCAGGTGGCTGCACTGCCTCTCTGGGCTCATGAACCCCACCTCTGGTTTGAAGATTTGTCTGTGGCTCTGTTGTGCTCTCTGGCTCTTGGGGAGATTGCCAACTCGTCAGTAGTAAGGAGCTGATATTCTAGTCTGGGGATCAGCCACATGTTTGCACACTCCTTTTTTCCATTGTGCCTTTTGAATGGCTTCTTACTCAGCATCCTCACTCCCACCTAAATGCAGACTAGGGAGTTAGGAGAAGGAGCCAGAGCTCAAGCAATCATTCACTCAGTCATTCATCTGTCAAATGTCTATTTGAACATCAAGTTTCCAGAGATCAGCAATACATGGATCCCATCTTTGAGTGCAAAAATCTAGTGGGGAGAACACACAGTGCAATTGGTACATGTGACATCATGGTAAATGTTACCATGAAGGTACTAGAAGCATGCTCCCTAGAGCACAGGAGGAAGCACCACAGAACCATGGAAATTAGAGAAGCCTACAGAGGATGTGGCAAATGTCAGTTTGACATTTTCAAGCTATGTACAATGCTGTGCATCTTGCAATGCTCAATAAAGTAATTATTGACAACTCATTAGCTGTTCTGTGAAGTATCTAAAAAGGAAGACTCCTAGTGATTGAAATAAGGTTTGGGGATTATCTGTAATTTTTACTTTTTTCCATTTTCTTCCTGATTCATAAATCTGGATTTTTCAGTTTTTTTAAACATTTTGAATCATATGTGAGAAAACAAGGTTAGATCATAAAATGGGCCATATTACTAATTTTCAATGTTGTTTCTCTGAAAAGCTATTTGGGACACCAAGTATATGTGACATGTCCTTCATAAATAAGCATGAAAGGCTTATCATTTCACTAATTCTGAATCACATAGAAAATAATAGAAACAATCTTACTGATTGCTTGTCATTAGGAGACTCTTACAGTGCGAGAAACAACGAGCCCTCTCTGGGGGAGGACCTGTCCTTTCTGTGGTCTTTCATAGGGCACCTCCTCTGGGATGGAGGCGGCAGGAGTTCTTGGCTGCTTTCCCAGTGTGAGCGAGGTCTTATGCATGAGTCTGTGTCTTGTTAAACATTTTTCCAAAGCTCACCACACGATCCATGTTTTTCAAAATGTTACACTTAAGAGCAACGCAGTATGGACTGCTTGACTTGTCATGGATTCTTAGACATCTCGTTGTCTCTGGAGGTATTTTCCTCCAGATCATGGCTTGAATTCTAACAATTACATTCCAAGTCGATTATTTTTAATGCTTGAATTTCAGCACAGAAAGCATTCATGACCATTTGTCATCATTGATGTGTTCCATGAATAGGAGTCTCCCTGTCAGGAGGCGGATCAAGGTCAGTCCCGGAGGCAGTAAATACCTGATGGTTAAGAGCCCAGGTTCTGGAGTCCAAATGACTCAGGCTCGAATCCTGACTCGACCACCTAACAGCTGTGTGGTGCTGGGCAAGTCAGCACCCAGAGTCTCGGCTTCCTCATCTGTAAGGTGGGGTTCATCATAGCACCTACCTGGGAGGGCTGTGGTGAGGACTCCATGAGCTAATGAAGATAAAAGCGTGCATCCCCATGTCTGTTGCAGGTAAGTGCACTGAAAGGTCAATTGTTGATACAGCTAGGATTGGTAACAATATCCACACATCTTGGATGAAATGGGCTGGAAGTTGCCTTAGAGCTCAGGATGTTTTTAGATCAGAGCTGGAAGGACTAGGGTTAAAGTACAGTCTGGCAGTGAGTGAAAATGAAGGAATCCAGAGCCTCATCAGTGGTGGTGATGTATCTGAAGAATTGAGGCATGGGTGGACCTTGAGTCTAGAGACAGGAGGCTCTGGGAGCAGGCGCTCTGTGTGTCTCCAGCACTCCAGAAAGGGAGGCACGAGCATTTCTGACCTCTGGAATAGAGAGGCATTTTCCCTCTAGGACCCTTCCTTGCTAAGGCCACGGTTTTATGACAGATTCAGTTTCCCAAGAACCCTGTTATCCACAGACAGGTAATTAGATGGAGAGTATGCATGTTGTAGCAGTGGAAAACGATGATGGCCCCACTGTAAATAGTCATTCTTCTTAACTACTCAGCCTCTTCTGGAGTTAAGGGAATATGAATTAGTGCCCCAAACTAGTTGATCCCAGTGTATAGATGAGGCAGAATGTCTGGGCCCCCATAGTTGATCCACAGGCCTTGGACTAAAATGATCACCCACTTTTCCCCAATTCACACTCACTAGGTACAGCCTCCAAGAAGCCTGCCTGTCATCCTAGCGTCATCTTTGGCTGATCTCAACCCATCTGCAATCTACATCCAAAGCAGATGCTGACAACACGTTTGGACTTTAGAGGCTTGAGTATGATGGAAAATTGTATGCTATCTCCAAGATTTCATAACAATTTTTTAGATAGGAGATCATTTTTATAAAGATACCATATTAATCAGGTGGATCAAAAGATATAATTTTGATGATTAATTAATAAACTTAAGAGACCTCCTTATCCTGTGTGTCCTGTTTTGGCCCACTTAGTGGATCACTCAGATTCAAACCTTAAGAAAGAGGCATCCTGGGAGGTGCTCAGAGCTTGCGGACTTTGCTTCTGGGCTGCCCTTGTCATTGGCAAGCCCCACTCCCTCCTTCTGACCCGCTTGCTTGGCGTCTTTTCACCCTCTCTGCTCCCCACTCCAATTGGTGCACATACACATTAAGTGTCTTCTGGTTTTTTAAGATTTGGCCCTTCAAGACCAGTCTTTCTTCTTTTCATCTTGATATAGTTATACCCCCAGAAAGCTCACTTTTCCAACCCTATGGACAGCTGGCCAGACTGCCCCAGCCAAAGGGGTCCTGCCTCATGGGTCCCTTAACCACAACCAGAAGGCTCTTGGGCAATGAAGGAGGAGTTTACATGGGTAGCAAAGGGGCTTTAGCCCATGTAACCACTCAGAGGTAAATGTACATGATTTTACAAGTGTACAAAAATGTAATTCATGCTTAATGAAAAAGGCTTTGAGAATAAATACCGTAATTTGGTGGTGGGGATGTAGGGTGATGCCTAAACATGTTTTGCACCAGCTCTTATTAAGATTCTCTTATATGTTAATAAGTACTTCCTAAATACAAGTGTGATTTTGGATACTCCTTGTCCATCTGAAAAATTTTCAGCTTCCTTTTCATCTGAAGATGGCAGACTCACCCATATATGTCTAGAGTTTGCAGAAGTACTTTCACATACAGGCATTCACCTGATCTTCTCAAACACTGCATAGACTGGAGTATTGGCAGGTACACCCACATCCTCTAGACTTTGACAACAAGAGTCTCAGCCCCTGATCTCTTAGCGAGTATTTGATTCTCTCTTGGGTAGGAAAAGGCACACTAAGATGGTCCAATATTTCATATAACTGGTTTTTTTTTAACTTTATGGGTGCACAAAGAATTTCCATTCAGTGCTGTTTTGAACAATGACTAATTTGGAACATCGCTATCTAGAACCATTCCACAGATTCCATGTCATGTAGGAGAGGCCATGTCCTAACAAGAGCTTCCAGAGCTTCTGGCATCTTTGGAAAGAATAAGGAGCTCAAGATCAAGTTTGCTGTGAGTTCTGCACTAAAGTACTTCTATAAGAGCTATGGTACAGGGTTTTAGTTTTTTTGGTTGTGTGTGTGTGTGTTTGTTTTTAAGCCTATATTCTGGATTCTGTAGACCTGGGTTCAAGTCTTTGTTCTCCTACAACACTTTTGGGAAAATCTTTAAACTTTTGTGAGCTTTAATTCCTTATATACCAAATGTGGATAATGAAAGTATCAAACTCATAGCATTTTTGTAAGGATCAAATGAGATAATATACTTCATAAACTACAAAGTATCATAGAAATATATATCTTTATTATTATAGGAGACTCCAGGGTTGGTTCTCTTTCCTTAACAATTGCTGCACGGTTCGTTTTTTAAACGGTGAGTAAATGTAGATGCCAAAGCTTCACCTGAAATTGATTTTGACAATAGCTGTTGAACATCAGGTCCTGGGAAGGCTCTGAACTTAAGATCCTCAGAATTCTGCCTCTTATCTACCCTTAAGTCCTATTTTCTTAAAACTCAATAAATCCCATCACAACAGACTGCTCTGCACACACCTCATGGCCCATTTGCTTTCCTCTGAGTCAGCTGAGTCTCTGAAATATTAGGCTTTGAAAAGGAGACACCATATGAGTCATGTAACAGGTGCCAGAAAGTGAAAAGTCACAAGGGAGCCTTTGAGAACTGGCTAAAGCCTCCCAGACTTCCCCGGCAGCCTGCCAGTGAAGGCCAGTCCCGACGTCGCAGCTGAGCGTTCCCCAGGAACACCAGACAGCAGCTCCCGAGATTGTTTCTGGAGGTCCTTTCAAGTGTGGGGCTCCCTAGGATATTTGTCGATTAGGCACAGGCAGGTGTTCGCTCTCACTGCATCTAAAGTACACTTCCAGGGAACGGAGTTCCAGAAGTGAGGAGTCTGCAGGCTCCTCAAAGGTCAAAGGAGAGGGTGCTCCCGGAGCAGAGGAGACCTGAGTCTACTCCGTGTGAGTCATGGCACCTTTTCCAGATGTCATCATTGGTGTATTTGCATGCAAAACAAGAAGAAAGGGATAGACAGGACCATCTTTAGAATCTTGCTAAACTGCAGGTAATAAATGTTTGCTTCTTAACAAGTACTTTCAGATCATTGAGTCACAGAAATTCTGATCAAGTTTTTTCAACTTGTCTCTCCTATTTGAGGGTTTACCAAAAGTCAGAGAAATCCCCTGGGACATTATCGGGCAGGACAGTGAAACATCATTGTCATTATTATTTTTATTAGCATTTCCTCTTCCCAGACTTGCAAAATTAATTAGCAGGGTTACCCTTTGACGAGCCAACCTGAGAGCATTTAAGAAATGCTGTAATACTCTTTGATCTCAGTAACTCCCCCAGCAGCTCACCGTGTTGCCAGAAATCTCACCCTTAGGCCCTCTTTGTTTCCTATGAAAATACAGAGTCTGAGGAGAGTTAGCACACGGTTTCAATATGAGCAACTGGGAACAAATGAGCTTATGAAATCCTTCCCACTGGCTGGGACAACTCCCTCTCACAGTGCTTGTATGGGGAGTTTAGGAGGTGTGGTGGAGACACCGCCTGGAGGGCAGCGGGGGCTTGTCTTAGACCCGCTGCCTGTAGGCCAGAGCCTTGCCCCAAGAGCTCTTCGTTGTGAGGGCTGGGGGAAGAGCGAGGTGCTTTCAGAGATCTTAGATGTGATGCCAGCAAATCGCTGTCTACATGTTGAATAGAAGATCCACCCAAATTAGATCAAAGTAGAAGCATACACCTGAAAGAAGTGATAAGGCTGTTGGGCCTGTTGCACATGCAGCCAGCAGTGTGTGTGTTGGTTAATGTCGAGCAACAAGCTTTCTCAGGGCAGAGACGGAGCACCCTGGTTTGTAATGTGTGCTACTTTCTCTGGTATAAATTCTCCCACCATGGCTGATTCAAGCTGCCAATAAGACCTTATTGAAAGCAAAGTAGGAGCAGATGCCCACGACCTATGTTCCTGAGCTGGCTCAAGCTGGTGGCCACCCCACCGCCCCTCAACTGCATGATCCAGGTGAGTGCATTATGTCATACAGCTGTTGCTCATGCTAAATGATGCAAAGCAGTCAGCTCCACTGCCTCAGTGCCGCAGCCGTGAGGCTGGGCTGCTGGAAGCTGGAGTTACTTTGGCTTTTCATGGAACAGACACACCCCTGTACTTCCACAGCTTATCCATCTACTCCAGCCAGCCCAGTGCCTTTCTGAGACTTCACTTTCTTTACAAAGCTGCCTATGGTGAGCATGTTGATGACATTTAAAGTAGATGAAGATGTCAATTCAAAGGTTTCTATGTTTAGAAACCGTGACTTGACCCAGGCAGGTGCCTTCTAGTAATAGCAGTTGTACAGCCTTAAGCATGGTGAGAGGCTGATACCAGACACTTAGGCCTCAGAGTCAAGGCAGCAGGCTGTAGACCCAGAGTTCTAGGAAGTGGAGGAGAAATCCTCCTCGTCCTGAGGCTCCCAGTGATGGCAGCAGAACCTGGCCAATGGCATAGACCAGGGGACACGACAGCTGGGAACCTGAATGGGTGCATGATCCTTCTGGCCAAGGCTTCTCCTACTGGGCCCAGAGACACAGTGTGAAGGACAATTCCCATTCTAGTTTTATGAGTTTGAGCAAGTCACTCAACCTCTCTTTGCCTTCATTTCCTCGCCTATAAAATGGCATAACAAGACCTTTCTTATTTACTTCAGCAGAGTTATTGTGGGGATCAAATGAGAAAACAGATATGATCATGCCTTATAAACACAAAAGCATTATTATTCACCATGGTTATCCCAGGGTTTTATGGAAGGGAGAAGCAAGGGTGTAGGAAACCGGATGAGCCCAAGGAAGGACACTGCACAGTCTCCAGAAACCGGATTTGCTGTTTATGTGATTTGGGTGGTACCATTTTCATAATGGTAATAGTAACAGCTCAAATTTAATAAGCATTTATGTTCTAGGCACTCTACTAAAATGCATTTATTTTTTTAAAAAGGACGTTCACAGGGGAAGGCACCAAGAACAGGAAGGTCAACAAGGGCGCACAGCAAGTGTCCTTGTGTCTTAACACACCGCATCCGCTTCAGAGTCCAGTCAGAGCCAGCCAAGCTTTCTCTGACAAGGGAATGTCTCCCAGCTCAATATTTTAATAAACGCTTTTGATGCTGCCTTCAGACATTCTCCCTCAATCCCACAGCAGGCAGGGCTTTGCTAGGAGTTGGGAAACATGGATCTTTAGAATTTTTTGTGTCATCCGGAGATTAGAATGGGTATTTATCATTGGGTTTTCAATGTAAATATTTTTTCCTTAGAGTCTGAAAAAAAATCTAGTGAAATAATGTTAGGTTTATCAGATAATGTTGCAAAATGTAGGGTGATCAGCCTTTAGAATTTTTGGTTCATATTCATTTGTTGAAGACTTCATGTCCACCAGGTTGTTTATTAGGCATAAAGGGTAGACCAGAAATACAGTGTGTACTTGTACAGACTGTGGTTGGGGAGAGGGGGAGAAAACTGATAAATATAATAAGGCACACAAACAGCAAACATCCTTAATGTGTATACATTGCCCAAAAATGCCTAAGAAGAACGCTGTTGCCAATTTTTTGTTTATATAAAGCCAGTTTATCTTTTTGCAAAGTATGACTTTATAGAAAGGTAGATTAGGAATATAATCTTTCCCCCATGACATATTTTATTCCTATGCATTTTTACTGTCAACAATTTTTTGAATGGGCAAAGGGTTTCAAAATAACCTAATTTCCCATTTTGAGAAGAGAGAATGCAAACATCCTACAAAAAACCTATCTTTAAGAAGGGACTCTGATTTATAGTTGCATGCAGTCAGTCTGCTCAGAGGTGAGGTTGTAGAATGGGAGTCTACACCCTCGGGGCAGGTGCTTCATTCCTGACTGGAGTCATCTACAGGAAAATGAAGATTGAATAGCACTGATCATAAGTATTTGAGGGACCCTGAGTATTTTGGGGCTGGATTTCAACAAAGAGGGATATGCCCAGGGAAGTGTTGGGGAATCTTATAGCCTTGCCCCTTTGATAGCAAAATGGTCCAGATGGAAAACTGTATAGCCCCTGGCCTAGACCCACTGCAGAGAAAATCCTATCTTCTTTTGAGGAGGACCAAGGACTCTGGCTCCACTGGCAGGCTGAGCTATCTCCTAAATCCTCTCTTGCTCCCTTCAGCCACGAGGCATGTTTAGCCAGTGCCCAGAAACAGCTGAGCCTTCCAGTGTCTCTGTCTGTAGAGATAAAATTAAGTCAGATGAGGAACCATCTTCAAGTAACTCACAGTCAACCCAACCCTCTGATCAGTTCATTGTGCGCCTTAGTCTTGTAGCTTGTTTATTTACATGTTCCCAGAAGAACACCATGACCCTGGAGAATGACTCATTTATTGTCGGCTAGTATTGTGTTATGAGAGTGAGAAGGCAGATGAGAGGTGCTTTGCCATTGCTGGGCACAAAGAAAGTGCTTCCTAAATAGCGTGTTATGCAGCCGTGTGTGATCGGCCTCATCCTCCCTCCCACCCCCAGGCAGGCTGGCGAGGCAGGCTGTGGAATCCGGCTGCAGCTGCTGCCACTGTTCCAGGGGCTCACAGGCAGCACATTCCATGTCCATCCCTGGAGAATCATCTATTTCTCACTCTCTGCACAGCCGGTTTCAAGGTATTGGGTTGGACAAGGAAAACAAGGTGCTCTGATGATCAGCATACATCTTTTCAGCACACTTATATAAGAACTGAATCTCAGAATTACTCTGAGAAATTAGATACTGTATATGAATTTCTCCAAATGCTAATTATGTAAGGACATGACATTGCCTTCTTTATAAGGCGGAATAAAAAGAATTTTAGATGGTTGGTGTCAACAGAGTCAGTCAGTAAAAAGAGCAAAGAAGAAGACACTGACTGTTCAGCAGTGAGCACCTATGTCCAGCCCCACTGAGGGAGACAGTGTTTTGGATAGAATGAGAATGCAACTGATCAGTAAAGAAACTCTCAAGATTTATTTAGATTTTTTTTATTACTTAAAAATGTCAACAGATCTTATTCCTGAAAACAAATTTATTCGTAACCATTACACAAATATTCTATCCCTTAAATGAGCATACTAATCAATCACTTGGACAATGTCCAAATAATCTAGTCAGGTTTAGCTGGATATAGTAAACACTGTGATTATGGCTAAATTTAATCTCATTAGCTACACTACTTAAAACAAAACAAAAAAACAAAATACAGAGGTCATCCCCTTCAGGACTGAGTACATTTTCCAAAGGTGTGGGACCCCAGGTGTCCCCTCACCGTGCTGCATTCCCCTTGAAGCTCTCTCATGACACCAGCCTGCCTCGCACCCTGAAGACCTGGGACACCCTCCAGTGGTTGCTTCTCCCTGCCCACTAAGGCACAGAAGGCCAACATGCTCCTCCCCTGGCAGTCGCCCTGCCACTCTCAGTGGGCATGCATGTGAAGTGCTACTTGTCCTCGGTGCCTGTAGGAACTTCAGATTTAACTGCAAGTGCTGTGAAAAGCAGCCGATGCCTGGAAGAGGCAGTGGTAGGGGGATGAAGGATGTGGAACACAGCGTAAGCTGCTCATAATGTGAGTCATCTTCACCTTCACACTGGGGAAGGAGGATGAGGAAGACAGTAAGACAGGTGGGAAAGCACATGGAGCCCTTTTGGGCAAATGGAGGCAAGAATGAATGTCTGACCTCCCCGAGGCATTCCTGTCACAGCTCCATGGGTCCACCTCTCTAGGAGGGGCATAATGACTTCCCAGATCTTTCTCATTCTTGGAAGCCTCAGCAGAACACCTGAGAATCTCCTCCAAGGAGGGTCCACCATGACTCTCTAGACATATCTCAGTCCACTGGACTCCTCAGCAAACATGCACACAAGGAGAACATATCAACATTTCCCATATGCCTCTCTGCCGAGGAGAGGTAATCATGACTTTCCAGACCTGTCTCCCCCCAGCAGGGGGACCGACCGTCACTGTTCAGGTACACGTCAGTTCAGGCGGGCTCTGGACTCCGCAGATATACTTCTTTGCAAACAGGAGAACCTGCCATGATTCCCTGGTCTGGTCTTTTACTGTCCACCATTTCCTGCCCAGAACCAAAAGCAGTGAGGGAGCAGAAAAAGCCTCCATCAAGTCTACTTTTCGGGAGGCTGAGGACCCTCTCATCAGTCACTCCCAAAGGAGAGTAAATACCAGCATATGGGGAAGAAAGCAGTCAGTAGATGCAAGACTGGAATCTGGGAGTATCCTCCTCCTCAGAGAACAACTAGCAGCAGAGAGAGCATCAATGGAATTTGGCCGGAAAGACCACTGGTGTCAACAAGATTCTGCATTTTCTGAACAAAAACTTGGGGTTAATAAATGCCAGTTCTATCTGACTCTTCAAACAAGAAGGTGAATTACCCACACATGCCCATGGGAAAAGGCAAACCAAATGCTCCAGAAATCAGCCAAGTGGTCTGCAGCTCAGCCAGTGTTGGACAGGGTCATGGTGGAGATGAAGATGTGAATGAAAACCAGCACTCTGAGCTATAAAATAACCAAGCAGAGAAATTTATCTGTGGGCTCCAGATTCCCCCTTCTCTTCCAGATTGGCTATCTGGTTGCCCAGGGCACCATGCCCTGCCATCGCTTCATTTCTGCTCAGGAACAGAGGATTGAACCCCCATATGGGTGCACAAAGTACCCACTGATGGCCACTGAGCCCTACAATCCTGTCTCCTTCAAGGTGTCAAGCAGACCGGCTGGCCAGGAAGTTTTGGACACAGTGGAGTCATTTCCCCTCCATTCCCACTTCAAGAGGGAGAAGCCACCATGTCACCTCCTGCTGTGAGGGCTCCACTCTTCCTGATAAATAACATTCCCTTGGCCATCACTGCTGCAAATGCTTCCTCCCACCTCCCAGGCGGTCCTACACCCTCAGAGCTCCCTGCACTCCTCTGTTACCTCTCCAGCTCTTCAGTCTAATCTTGGCATTAGAAATCCACCACCAACCTCTGGGAACTACTCCCAGCTCCTGGGATTCATCCTTCATCAGCTGATGTTCACACCCAGGCCCAGAAGTCCACCCACCACTCCTCAAGTCAGCCTGGGCTCCGAGGCCTGCCAGCTTCTGATTCATCCTACAGCTTCTGGCTTCCACTCCAGCCTCTCAGAAGGCATCCCACTGACCCAAGAGTACACAGTGATTCCTGACTCCCAACTGGGAAGTCCCCAGGGGTCATTAAGGTTCCTGGAAACATGCCTCCCTTTCTTTCCAATGAAAAATTCTGCCCTTTCCCCACCAAGTTTTCTTCCTTCTGATTTTCTGTATTTTCCTCCACAGGAAAGTTTTGGTGATTTTGTATAGGGAATCAATCACTGCATCTCCAGAACTTGTTACACAGATTTTGCACACAAACCCACAGTGGTATGAATAACATTGCCGTAACAAAAGAAACATCATAAACTGCTAAATAAAAGAGCCCGTACTATGTTATATTAAAACTACAATTACAGGCAGGCAAAGAAACATTAATAAAAACAAACAAGGAACAACATGTCAAATAAGGAGGAAGAGAATGAGGAGAAGCAGGGATCTGATTTATGAGTACAGGGCAGTGAAAGTGCCCCAGTGCCCAGTTCCTGTGAGGAACAGGTGGGGCCCTCGGCAGGTGGGTCAGGCTGAGACTCTCAATGGCTGTGTGCACTCCCCGGGGTGGGGTGGGGGGGGTTAGAGTCTCTTTCTGTTTCTCAAGCAAAGATGAGCTTTCTCAGATGTGACAGAGAACTTCTGTTTATCATTTAAAATAAAAATTCTAATCCCTTTATTTTTGTGAAGCTCATGGTGTATGACACGTTTTTATAGATAATTTCAAGAAGCCCTAAAATAATGTGTGGGAAACAGTGATAGCTCATAAATTGTTGCAGCTATTAACTACTTGCCCAGTGAACTCTTCCTGGATAAAAACAAAACACAAAAAACTGGTTTCACCACATATTAAAACCCCAGCCTATTAAAAACTTAGTGTTGCCTGTGAAGCTTGGGAAAGCAGCTTACACTGTTGCTGTTTGAAATGAACTTGAATTAAAGGAATCTTTGGCATTTTTCTGAACCCACACATGATGGGCTGCATTTTTTGGTTGTTTTCTTTTCTTTCTCCTCCCCCTCCTCCTTCATTGCTCTAGGACCTGGGGCCGCAGGGGTGAACATCTGGGCATGGTCTTTGAGGAGACCGCCTGTCCTTTTCAAGTGCCAGGCAAAGCCCACCTTCCTTGGTAAAGGTCAGTATGGGCAGAGATGGGGAAGTGGGGGCATAAATAGCCGACTTCAGGATATGGAGCAGGAAGGCAAAGAGCCTGAGCCACTCAAAGTACAAGTCGGTACACGGAGAACACATGAGCAGGAGCCAGGGCCCAAGGAAGGAGAGGAACCCGAGCTGGCCCACAACTATGGTTGTGGGTTGACTGGGTGCAGGGCGTCTTTGGGGGTGCACTCTGCTCACAGGGGTCTCTGGGGTGCAGTCCGGTGCTGGCTGGGACTGCAGAGTTCAGAAGGCCCAGTGGACTGGATGTCCAAGACGACGCCCTCACTTGACTGGCCACGGACTGTGAAGCGGACACTTACACCACGGGCTCTCCACATGCTTGGGCCCCTCACAGGGAGCCCGACAAAAGACCCAGACAAAATGACAGAGCCTCATGTGATCCAGCGTCCGAAGTCCTAGAACACTGCTTCTGCCACGTTCAGATGGACAAGCAAGTCACCGAGTCCAGCCCAGATGCAAGGGGAGGGGAATCAGACCCCACCTACGAAGGGAGGAATGGCAAGGTCATTTCAGAAGAGCAGCTGGGCTGGGAAATACTCCTGTAAGCATTTAAATGACTTACCATCTGTCATAAGAATGTAGTATTAACATCCCATGCTACAGGGGAGGGAGTTTTGCAACAATTAGCCAGATCAAATGGTCAGCTCACTTTTTTAAGCTCAACCAAGTCCACACCCCCTCTGATTTCTTTACCATTATGCTTCATTTAAGACAGTGTTCTAAAACTTTAATAATGAGTCACTTGTTTTAAAGATGCAGTATTACTTTCAATAATATGAAAACAAATTCTAGTAAAATTTATGAACTTGAAATGTAACTTCTAGTAGGATTTGGGAGGTCATGTTTGAGAAATATTATGAAAGGAAGAACTAGCATTTGTTGAGATGTTTCAGTGGTCCAGGTACTTATACAAACTCATTTAATTTCACAATAATCCACTTCCTCCAAATAAAAAGTGAAGTTTAGAGTGGTTAAAAGCTTGTCGAAAGTCACACAGCCAGTAAGTATTAGAACCGGGGTTTAAACACAAGTATGGCTCAGTGCACCTTCTATGTGTTTCCCACACAGCTCCGTGCTGTAGGTTGGGCTTCCCAGGAATCAGGCTGAGAGGAGATGAGCAGGAAGGAAGTTAATGGGATGTTCTTAGGGACACCACCTGTAAGGGAAGATAGACGCTCAGGGTCAGGTAAAGGAAGTGGATGGTGATGCACCACACTGAAGAAGTCAGCAGGCCCATGGAGAGCTGGGACAGTCCTTCAGGGTTGTCCTGAATAGGGAGCAAGGGCTCTGGACCCTTCTTGCCATCCCATGGCAGGCATCACAGTAAATGGCTGTTGAGTAGACAAACGCTTCAAGCACTCAGTCCAGACTGAACTGTAAAGGGCAGAAGCATCAGAGAGGGGAGGCACCACTGACGTGTGAGGGCACCAGCCCTGACTCAGGACCAGGAGGGCCTTTCCTGCCGGACACTGAGACACTCAGGGCCCTACTTCCGACAGTCCTCAGAAGGAGAAGCCAGATCTCCAGGCCCAGAGTGCTAAGATGAGCAGCAGTGTGAGCCCCCACGGACAGCCTGCCCAGGAGCCCTCAGTGTAGGCTGGTACATTTTTAATGTTGCTTAGTTTAGGAATGGTTTGAAATCGAATCAACTTACAGTATTGAATTTATTTACTCTCAGATTCCAAATTGTGACCAACCTCAAGGAGGAGTTCCTAAAAGTCGTTAATTCAGGAAGTATTCATGCCTAATGGCCAGTGGTGGGAGATCACAGGCTGATAATGTATTAGCTGTCAATCAGGACAGTCATCTTCAAAGGGTGGTGTCCAAAGAGGGTGGAAACCTCACGTTTCCCAGACCCACCCCTCACATCTGGGCCTGATTCAGCCTCACCTTCAGTCTTTGTGGAGGACTGGAAGAAGGAGAAGCAGGGAGAATTAGAGGTCAGCAGAGAAGAGGAAGAAATGAGATGCCGTAAGGCAAATAGGACTGATTTACTGACTATGTTACCTCACTTAATCCTTATCACAACCCTGTGAGTTAAGCTGATTACTGGGTTTTCAGATGAGGAAACTGAGATTCATAGGACCAATTGAGATCCCGTGAGTTCGGAAGAAACCAAAGAGAGAAGGAAAAAGGGGTGAAGGGAAGAGGGAAAGAAGGAGAGGAGAACACACTCAGGCTGCAAGAACACCGTGCGTCCCTTCTCTGCGCCCAAACTGGGAAACCAACAGGAAGTAAGTTCCTGAGCCCATAGTTCTCATTCTACCTTCTCTTTCCCCTTTCTCAGTATCTCCAAATCCTGCCTGGGGTGCCTGAAGACCTCTGAGGGGACTGTCTTTCCAGAGGTTTTTGACATATGATCACAGAAATCATTTTTGGCTTCATTTCCAACACAATTTTCAACGATGAATTGAATACTTACTGAGCACTTCCTATATATTAGGACATTTTAAGTACATTACTTAATTTACTCTTCATTTACAACGACCTTGCCAAGATAAAGGATTATTCTGGTTTTTGTGGAAAATATTTGAAGCTCAGAGAGGTTGAGTAACTGGTGCAAGATCACACAGCTAGTGTCAGAACCAGGACTTACACATTTTCACTTCATCATCCTGCCTCAAGGTCGGTGAATCTAACATATATCACCCTGGGCTTGCATTTGCTGGGTGCAAACACACACAGGGCCCATCAGGGGGTACAAATTTTGCATGGATCAGTAACCCAGCACTGGGTGTTTTATTTTTATTTATTTAATTCAATACTTTTTTTGTGACTTTTGGTACCCATATGGCATAGAGGCCTCCCTCAAATAAATTAAACTTCCCATCTGTACTGAGTCATTTGGCAAGAAGTGATTCACAGCGCAGAGGACGAACACAGGAAAGGGAGGGGGTGGGAGGAGAACCTGCGTGAAACGTGGTGCACGCACCTCATTTTCTGCTTTCTGCCAAATAGCCAACATCCCCACGCTTGTACTCGCGGAAGGCGGCATTCAGTTTGTGCTTCTGGCCT